TGGTAGTTATTTTGAAGTAGTGAAGGACTTCGTCGTCATCTTAGGATCCAACATAATCCGCACCACCTATGACAGGCTAGAGAGCAAGCGAGCAACAATTCTTGCCAAATAATTTAGGCTTTGTAGGCAATTGAAACTGTTCCTTTCTTCTTTTTGGGCAAAAAAATACAGTTGTTCCGCTAGGACAGCACAAGTGCTCCAATCCTTAAGTTATTCAATGGAAAAAAAAAACTGACTAGGGGACTTTATTGGACTCGGAAACATTTGCTTATACGGTTACAGCGTCAAAACAGAACTTTAGAATAATAAAAAGAACTAAGTAACCGTAATAAATGTTATACATACATGCATACATATGTTAATTTATGTATGTAGCACATTGGCGCTAATAAGAGTTTTGTTTACGTAATTAAAATTTAATATAAACAAAACAATACAAAGTAACAATTTTGCCAGGCATTAATTGCAACTAAACTAAAGTCGTTAAATAAATCTTAACAATGTGCGAATGGGGAAAACACCAAAAACAAAAACGAAAATAACACATAATTAAAATAAATTCAGCAAGAAGGGATAGACAGTGCGGCAGTGCAGCAGTCGTCGGCGCTTGGAAACAAAATTAAATTTGCATGAGTTGTCTCAGCTTTGGGTATTTTAATTCCCGCTGATTGTTGCCTGCAAGCAAATGAAGGCAGACGTATGTAAGTGTAACTATGTGAGGATATACATAGGATAGGTATGTATGTAAATACATTCGTGTAAAAGGAACAGTTCCTGGGAGCGTCAGATTAATATGTGTAAATGAACAAGTAAGGAAGTCTAAGTTCGGGCGGAGCCGAACATGAAATACCCGGCGCAAGTATTAAATATATGTTTTTTCACCTGTCCGAAACCTTCCGCTAGATGGTAAGACGGGGTGTATCAATTTTGAGTATATTAGCTTATGGTTATGTTATGTTATGCCAAGTACTAAGCTAAACTCCCCTCCACTTAACCCATTCCAACTAATGTTATTTTAGCTCATTCAACTTACATAAACTATCCTTAATTTTATCGGTTGAATTTCAACCGCTGGGCGAACACTAGTATAATTAAATTCGACTTTACAAACAAGTGACGACCCTCTTTAAAATATTTTCAAGCTAAGCCCTACTTAAACCGCGAGTGGTTAAAAGCTATTATTCTTCGTCCGGTTCTAGCAATTCACGACTTGCAGTGTTTTCGCGAAGTATCCTCTGGCTAGCAGTTGAGCACCTATTCAGAAGCAGTTGAGCACCTTATCTGAGAAGTCACATGCCCAGTAGAGGGTTGTGTGCTAGTCTCCGGACCCAGTCTCGGATGAGAACCTGTCCTTTTGATGACATTTCACTCATTTGCACCCACGCCTTCACACGAAAGAGAAAGGTGACGCGTCCAAGGATTCCCTCTATGACCGACTAGACCGCACTTACGAACGCTGACCCCGCTGCGATATCAAAATCGTGCTTGGTGATCTTGGTACATCCGTCGGAAAATTAAGCCTTACCACGAAATGTCCGATAATGCACCGAGACTGATCAACTTATTTACTGTATTTGCAAGAAACTCTTCCGAGTCCAACACATCGACATCCTTCACTTTGGGTACCTGCTCTTCCCTGTTTATGTATTTTTTGGCTATGTGTTCTATGGTTATGGTGAAGTGCCTACGCTTGACTAAATTTTTTATTTATAGGGAAATTTCGGTAAAATTTTTGGTAGATAAATTACCAAAATTAATACTATTCAGAGCTATGCTTTAGGAAGTAAGCGGGGCAACTCAGAACTACGTAGCACTATGCCATGTTTGAAAAACAAAAAATGCGAATGTTTGGATATCATGCATTTCTTCCGTTTTCGATTGACTGTTTTTCGGATATGCCAATAAATATATTTAAAATTCTAAGTCATAATTCGGTTGACATAGAATTTTCTATATACACTGCCGGCAAAAAGTATTGGCACAGCTGCTTTTTTACAATATCTGCAACAACTTTTATTTTTATATTTTTTGGAGAATTTTTTATAAAAATATAGTTCATTCCACAACAAAAAACAAAAAAATATAATTTATAAGCTTTGTGCAAAACTTCAGCAAATTTTCATGCAAATTTTCAACTTTTTAATCAGAAGTTTTAGAATTTTTTTGAGTACGCAGATTTGTAGCTCAATCAATTTTATTGAAATAAAGTAGAAATTCAAAGTATCTATGAATTACCTTTGATTTTTGGAGTTTTTTTTACGCAGTCTCTTCCATAAAAAAAAATTCGAAAACACTTTATATGAAAAAAATGCTTCATACCCAAACTGCATACCCAATAAAATTCTAAAAGATCTGACTAAAAAGTTGAAAATTTGCATTCAAATTTATTGAAATTCGTGAGTTTTGTTCAAAGTTTAGAAATTATATTTTTGCGTTTTTGTTGTATAATGAAACATATCATTAAAAAAAAAATAGCGCAAAAATATTAGAATAGAAAGTTGTGCATATATTGTGCAAAATTCGCTGTGTCAATACTTTTTGCCGCCAGTGTACATTTGTACGAGTAAATGATTTTTTTGGTTACAGATTTTTTTCCTCAATGTTCCCTGCTGGAAGTTTTTTTACGAATATCTTACTAAATCGCAACTTCTCATTATGGGTATATTTAATTTTAGAAAAGTCATATGCCTAATATATATATGTAAGGATTAACACATTTTCAGTTATGTTTTTATTTTCATTGAAAATGTTTTCAGCTTTCTTTTTTTTTGTACTTTTCTTTTATTTACTTGTTTGTTTTCTTTTGACACTTGAAGGGTTGGTTCGAGTCCCTTTTGTTTTGTAGTTTTTGTACACACCGTTATTAGGGTTGCTTTTTTCCTACCGACTGCGCTCAGCTCTTCAGTGTTTTCGCATTGTGTGTCTTCATTTGCGTTGATAATGCTGTTGTTATTTTTGCTTCACTCGCAATCTTGTTTCATTATTTGTCAGTGGAGCGAAAATCTTCTCAACCTTCTACTGAAGCAGGCCTACCGCCGCCGAGGTAGCAAAAAAAACACAAAAAATTTTGAACGACAGCAAAAAAAAAAGAAAGAAAAGAGTTGTTGATGTCAGTACGCGGCTNCAACCTTCTACTGAAGCAGGCCTACCGCCGCCGAGGTAGCAAAAAAAACATAAAAACTTTTGAACGACAGCAAAAACAAAAGAAAGAAAAGAGTTGTTGATGTCAGTACGCGGCTTGACACTTGAAACTGTCGAAGTGCAGAGCGAAGTTGTGGCCTAAAAGTTTAAACGTATTTACAATGCTTTAATTGTATTTAATGTGTGTGTCTACAACTTTGTTGGCGAATCTCGGGTTTTTTTTTTATAGTCGCTTGGGGCCGATAATGTCGCAGAATGCTGTGTAAACTTGAAAGAGTGTCTCCTAAATTATGTAACAAAGATTTGTTGGTAATTTCTTTTGCATGGCTTAGTTGACCTTAGGCATTAAAATTTGGCGAAGTGATTAATAACATTGTTGTTGATATTAAAATTGACGCAATACTTTTTCACGACCTCAATACGGATTCGAGTAAATAATTTGCTTGTTTTGACAAAAGTTGAGTGAAAGGTCAAAGGTTTTTTCGCTGGTGATGAAAAGCTGAGCTTAAGAAAGTTTTGCACTTTGACAACAACACTTTAATGACAATTTGCACATTTATGCTTAGAAAAGTTTTCGGGTCCCTTTGCGCCTAATTCGTGTCAACGAATGCGACTGCCCTTGAATAATAACGAAAAATACGATTTTAGTTATAAAATTTATATGTAGGTATTTTCCATATAAAGAAGTGGAAAGGAAAATATACATAGATACATATAACTGCACTTATGTACATATGTATATAAAAACGAAGAGTCACATCTTAGTTGGTACATGAAAATTTAAGCTCTCGGATTTAGGAACTTATTACGCCTGTAAGTATGTATATGGTGACCGCTGTAGCCCATTTCTGAGAGGTGCATACGGTCATTCGGTAGATCGTGAGTTAAAATATTGGGAATTTGGGACGCCTGTTTAGCGGCTATGCTTTCTACTTGTAGCGTGTTGTAAGGCGTCGCTATCTGCATTTCTGCCGATGTAAATACGTCGTCGCTCGAGGACGTTTGTTTCCAGGGCTTCAATGTTACGCTGCTGAGTCCATAGCTTAGCCCATAAACTGAAGCAGCTGAAACTGGCGATCGAGTTCTTGTCAAATACAACATCCGCATACGCTGCAGGCTTGTCTGCGTTCCTTGTCGTATTTTTTCTTTGCGCACATGGGTGGACATTAAGCCGTATCACTATATATGAATGAAAAAAAAAAAAAACGTAATTGCGCCTAGGCCCCACTGGAGACGTGAAACTTGCCTTACATCGATAAAAATACCGATTGCAACACCGATAAAATTATCTATATCCAAATCGATATTTCCGTTTGCAATTTCCGTTCACTTTGCCAATTTACTCCCAAGCAAACCAACTCCCAAGCAAGGAATTTCACTTCAAAAAGATTTAGCCTTCGTCAGTTTTATTTGAACACTTATGTCGGGAAAAATTTTTGGGTGCAACAAATTTTTTAGGGACCCGCTAAGAACAACTAATTCGCGTTTTTTGCTATAACTACTTATTGGATGGCCGATTTCTTAAAATTTATGTCGCCGAAAAGGTCTCGCCCAGGAGTATAATTGGCCATTAATAAGGTTTGGAATTAAAAACAGTTTTAATTTATACCTTCAGTAATTATCTCAGCATCAGCCATATTTTTACAAAAAAAAAAAGTAAAAATTAAATGCATTTTAAAAACACCAAATTTATTAACAAAAATTACCATTGACTAAGCACTGGTCGCTAGTGTATATTTAGTTGACGCAAATGAACTTTTTGTCAGTCTATCGATTGCTTAGAAGCTGCTTATTATTTATGTAGTAAACTTTGCATTTTTGAGTAATTTACAAGTTTTGTATAATTTAATTTTTTGCAGGTGTCTTGGATAAGGAAGCGGGATTTACACATACTGACCGCTGGTTCGACGACATATACATCAGATCAGCGATTTCAAGTAAGTTTGTTTTACAATGCAAAAAAAAAATTAAAATACATACAAATCTTTTCCGAAGATATAACGATTTGAAATCGCTGCGATTTGGAAAATATTTTTCAATATAAAATAATATATGTTTCAAATGAAAACTGCTGAAAGCTTATTATTTACGTCGCATCAATCGATTAAGTGCGAATTTGTTTCCTTTCTTTAAGAAGTCTAAAAAAAATATCCTGTAAATCGCACCGCATTAAAATCGTAAGATTTGTAGAAGAGTCTTTATATTTTGTTTTATGGAAATAACAAGTAATTTTTAAGCAAAAAACAAAACCGACTTCAATTCTCATATAAAAAATTAAAAGCACCGTTAATTTCTTCATGATCCAATGAAACCAAATTTGTATGGGACCCTTCTTTTAAAAAAGAATTATAGAATCGATTAAGTGCGTCCAAAATTATGCGGTAACATACATAAGTAAATAAAAATAATAATCTGACGAATTGATAACCTCCTCCTTTTTTGAAATCGGTTAAAAAGAGTTGCTGAAAATTTTAATTTGTTTCTATAAAAATGTAACTTTATTTGTTTTCTTAGGTAATACGCCCGGAAAATTCGGGTAACTGGACATTGCAAATAAAATATCCACAACCGCGGGATTCGGGCATTTACGAATGCCAAATCAATACAGAACCAAAGATGTCTCTCTCATACACTTTCAGTGTAATTGGTAAGTGAAGTTTCCAACATTAAAGTTTACTTCAGCCAAAAAAAAAAGAAATTGTAAATTAAAAAAGTGTCAGATTAAAATTTACCTTTCACCTGTATATGCAAGCAACATCATACTCCGATATAGTAGAGGGGAGCTACCTCAAGTTTTTTGATGGGAATGCACATTTATCAAACAGTTATCAGAATTGCCGAAATAATAAAACACGTAACTTTAATAATTTAGGATGAATATAAATTTTATAGAAATCGAATTAATAAATTAAGTTTGATTTTAAACAATGAAATACAATATCAAGTTGGAAGAAGCTGACAGCACGCTATCGTTGCTAATTACCGACTACCGACGTACTCTCTCTGTGCCTCGCGCTCTTTGTTCAACTGTCATTCAATACCAGGATTGCCAAGTGTAGTTGACAGCTCGGTCCTTCCTGATTTATCATCACTCCGGAATCCGGAACGATTTGTGATCATCATTCGCTTCAATGTCTGTCTCTTTCTCGGGCCCTATAGAACACCAAGGCTACATATTTTCGTTAGTGAAAACGCCTGCGTATGCTCTGTGAGTTTTTTGTACCGTTGGTGGGAGATCTTCTACTATGTAGTAATCATTGGGATGCAATTTCGTCACCTGATACGGACCCTTATATGCTGGTTCCAATGTTCCAGTTTGCGGGACGTACCTGTGGGAGAAGGTACATTATCGATTAAAACTAATTCGCCTATTTTATATGGCCGTGGCGTTCGATTTAAAAAAAAAACTCATTCACGTCCCTTTTTTTTAATATCAAAACACCTTAATTCAACTTTGCAAAACAAATAAAAAGGATGAAAAAATACATTTCCAATTTTCCTCGGAAGTATAAATAAGTATAGTTTTGACTGAGTTACCCAAGCTTCTCTTGAACTTATCTTAAAAAAATTATAAAAAAGCAGCATCAAAGATCTCATTATCATGATTCCGTTGAAAAAAGAAATTGATTTTTACGCAGATTTTTAAAACTTAAACTGTTTTGTGATCTGAGAGGGTTTTTTTTAATTCTTTATTTTTATTCATAAAAAAACTAAATTTTTGGAGGTATTTTCAAATTGGTCCAGCTCAAGTAAATCTTAATATTTTTCCGAAAAATTTAGGTGGACGCCTTCAAATATAATAAATTTTGTAATAAAACACAACGGTGTTTGGTAAAGCAGTCTGAGATACGTATGTTATTTAAATATAATTTTTCCTGAAAAATTCTGAAAGTAAATTTTACTTAAATCCACTTTTAACAACGGAAAACGCAATTCGTATGTAGTTCCGTTATGTAACTTCTAGAGCTTATAAGCTGATTTAGCAAAAAGTTGTTAAATGTTCATGATTTTGGCAAAGAATGAATTTTCAATTGAATTTTCAAGACTTTTATTCCGAGTGAATGCTGTACATATATACATACATAAACATACATATGTACATCTGTTTATGTATGAAACTATGCATGTGTGTAGATTTACATTTACATATGTATGTATGTATTTAAATTTATATATATGTATTTATACTTATGTATATATAGATATATTTAAATAGCTGCAAATGCATGGCTTTACTCTAGTGGTTATTAAGAACCTTCAGCAACATTCCTTCAAATATTTTACCTACAAACACTGAATAATAAATTGAATAAACTAAGCGTAAAATGCAGATACATATTTTATGTGCACCGTAATCTCTCTAAATGACCGAGTTAATCTAATAAAAGTTAAAATAAAACGAATTTTCCAGTTTCATGTTGCAAAACAAAACAAAAAATATTTAATGATTTATATTTGTATGTAGTCAAGATTGTACATATATACGGCGAAAACTTCACAATTTGTATGCATTGAATTTCTGCTGAATATCTTGTACGAATGCAGAAATATGCAAGAAAATAATATCTAAGCTTCAAACAAAAGCATTTACAGTAAAATATTGACTCAGAAATTATAAAAAATTTTACGTAAAATTGCAAAGTAAAATAGAACTAGAGTGTTTCGTGAAACTAGAAGCCTCAGGGCAGGCAGAAAATTTATTTTCCATAATAATTTTAGCAATCTATGTAAATAGTTCTCACTTGGTTGAATTTCTTTCCCATTTACATAGTAGCAGCAGCGGCAATCCGAAAAGAACTGCAACTGGAAATATTTGCTGTTGCTGCTTTTAAAATCAAATCTTATAAATACTATACGTTTTTTTTTAAATTACTACTTATGTCTCGATAGGCCAGTAACGTCAAGTCGAGTAGAGTTCAATAAAGCATTTCTTTCTTCTTCTAACACCAGCGGGTACCTCACTGAAAATTTTCACGTCTGCAGCGTTTATGTCCATTCATATTACATTGCTGAGCGGTCAAAGCCGCTGTATTGTAATTCGCTGCACTATGTCTATTGATTGATTGTTCGAAGACAGGAGATACATACAGGGAACAATTTCATCAGACTTCTTCAACGAGTTCACTGGGACTTGAACCAAAAAGTCCGGCGTTCAAAGTTAAAAATTAAAAATTAATAAAAAATTTTAAATTAATCCTTAAGTGCTCTTGTCGGTCTATCAGACCACGACAAAAATTTTAGTTTATTTACTATTTATTGTAAAAGTTGCCACATTTTTATTTTTAAACAACATTTTTTTTTGAATTATGAAAAATTTTTTTTTTTGTTTTTTTTTCCTGAAATGTGGTTTCAAAATATTGCTAATAAAATGTAAATTAAATTAAGTTTAATTAAAAAAAAATCGAAGGTTTAATATTTTTCTAAATTCAAAAAGGTAATAATTTCACTAAAAAAAAGTTTTTGATGAAACGGTCTGCATATATTTTTATTACTTAACCTTAAAATTTGTGTTGTCTCACAAACCAACATCAGTAGTTAAGGGTTAAATTGATCTTAAGTATATAGACAGGTGGCAGCTGCAATGAAAAAACTATTTCTTAAACGTACCTTCTAATTTAATATAAATTTCTTGAAAAGTTGGCAACTAACTTGAATCGTTCGGAAATAAGTAATTTTTGAACTTCTCCGTTTGATACCCACATTGTTGACATACTTAGTTTAATTTGCTTATTAATCAATTTAAACTTTTTAAATATATATTCAAGATATTTTCAAAATATATTGTTTTGGAACCGCTTTCGTTTGATATCTATAACAAAGTAATATTTTATTTAACTTATTAATTTTAAATTTTATTCTTTACAAAATCGGTATTAAAATTTTCACAAAATTCTATGGTATTTATTCAAACATACAAAAATGCCCTTTAGTGGAAATATTTTGCTGAAATTTGTATGTGACAAATTCGATTAGACCAGCACTGCTTGCAGCACTTAAATTCGATTAAAATTTCGGTCGAATTGTGTTAAATCACAAGTGGTCGGCTGCTGCGTGCACGACTGAGGCAAATGGTTTTGTGTGTTATTTCTAAATGTGGAATTACCTCAGAGCAGCATGAAATCACAAGATGATAATTTACGACACATACATACGTATGTATGTATGTATGTATGTAAGTCCTTTCATGCTTATGTCCTTGTTCAGTTGTATGTATGTATGTATGTAAGTCCTTTCATGCTTATGTCCTTGTTAAGGTAAAAGGACATTTCTCAGAAAAAACACACATGCACACGCATAACGTGTGGTGTTAATGGTGATAACCAGGAATTTATACATACATACATACATATATATATATATATTTGTTGCATAACTATCTGAGTTTGTGTGAAAATGCTTATACCTATGTAAGTAATTAGTTTTTGCTTCGGACTATCAGTTATTTTTGTAAGCCATAAATTTTGGCAAAGAAAATAATTTAATACCAAACGTACACACATATGGATGTGTACTATACCATGGATATTTATCTATCTGTATATTCACCTGCATACATGTATTTGTATTGTTGTTCTTTGTGTACGGAAATATTAAGGAAAATGGCTTCTAGTTATATGAAATTTAACTGAGGCTCGCCTACGTTATGTCACATGAATCGCTAGGCAATCGATTGTGGCAAGCATGGTGATTATCAACATACAACTGCAGTGTGGAATTTTAATGCCTTCGTTAGGAAAATTTTTTTTTGTAACTAAAAACGTATTTTCAAGGTCACTGTGTCGAAGAAAATAAGCAAATCAATTATTTTGGTAAAGTTTTTATATGCAAAGAGTATCCACTTTTTCGGTGTTTCCATTTTACGATAACGACTAAGCGGTCACAAATTGGTGCAATCTGGCAACACTGTTATTTACTGTACTTAGTTTGAATTGCGTTTCCATTTTAAATATACTAACGTCAAACTGGGCAAATTTATTTCGCAAATCAATTGGCAGCCGACCCAGTGTCTTGTCGCAATATACTGTTCAGTAATGTGGCTAATTTTTGGCTCAATGGGTAAGCCAAAACACTAAATTCCCACATTTCTAGTCAAGCAAATCCACAGAAAGTTCACGAGTAACTGTAAGCCTAATCGGGGTGGGCGTTAAGTTCGCCTCAAGCTATGGGCACTCCAGTGTTCTAAAGGGCTTCGGGTTCCTTCCGACTTGTACAGAGCACTGCACGCCGATGCTGGGTCTGAATGGATCCTTCACTACCCACATTCCTGCAAGAGAGGACTGGGAGAGGCGCTATT